AGGGGGGGGGGGGGGAGCTTGGGTCGCAGGTGGAACGGCCACATGGGGGCTGGGAGCTGGGTGAGCAGACAGAGGTTGGGGGCTGGGCCATGCAAGAGACAGGAAGGCTGGCAGGCAGAGCATGTGGGGCAAGCGCTAATGCCAGAGAATAGCAAAGTTCCTGGCAATGCTGGGTACCTCCAGGAAGCATCACCCACACCCTGACACCAGCTGAGGCTGGCACAGCCCGTGGCCTGCCCGGGCAGCTTCAAGCTGGGCTCTTGCCTTGACCCTTCCCTTGCTCGAAACGTGCTTTTGCTTGCACCTGCTTCTCCCCTTTCACTAGTGGCCAGGGGCTGTGCATGGCAAATCTCAGAGCGGCGTGGGAGGCGGGCAAGGCTGGAAGCAGCATGGCAGGCTCTTCACACCAGCCCCCCAGCTCATGTGGCCTGGGCAGCTAACCAAGGCCTCGCACAATGATAACGCAGTGTTCCCACCCTCGTTTTACCATGGGGGAAACTGAGGCAGGGAGCATGGCAGGGACTTGCCCAGGGCATCCGTGGCAGAGCTGAGAACTGAACCCGGGAATCCAGGTGATGAGGTTCTGCTCTAACTACTAGACCCCACTCCCTTCCCAAAGCTGGGTGTACTGACATCCCACATACCAACCACAGTATTCCTTTCCTCCAGCCAGGGAAACCCCCCTTCCCTCCCCCTTCCCTCACTTGTCATCACAAAACCCCACTCGTCTCCTGGAGCAGAGCTCCCAGCCTCCCCTGCTGTAGCCACTAGACCCTCCTTCTTCCCTTCCCCCCTTATCTGAGGTTAGAACCCAAGAGTTCTGACTCCCAGTATTCCACTCTAACCACTGGGCCTCTCTCCCCTCCCAGATCCTGGAAGAAAACCCAGGAATCCTGGCCCCCAGACCCTCCTGCTCTAACCCTCATTTCTCTCCCCCCAAGAGATGGGGGTAGAACTCAGAGGTCTTGGTTCCCAACCAGACCTGCTGTAACCATTAGACCCCACTTCCTGCTCCCAGGGCTGTTCCCCCCGCCTCTAACTCCTAGAGCCCTCCCCCTCTCTGGAGCACTGCTCGAGGCAGGTTCTCATCCCACCCTCCTCCTGCTAGGATCTGACTCCTCCATCCCATATGCTAGACAGGGCAGCTGCGTGCCTTATGCAGCGCTGCCCGCTAACCTGCCCCCTCTGTGCCCCAGCCACTGCCCGTAGAGCCTGCGCCATGGACGGCCGAGCTGAGCCCCTGAGCCTGCTGACGCGCTGGTACATCTACGCCCTGCACGGCTACTTCTGCGAGGTGATGTTCACGGCCGCCTGGACCTTCGCGGCCGAGCAGGACTGGAAGTTCCAGGGGGTCACCAGCGTCTGGGCCTTGTTCATCTACGGCACGGCCGGCCTGGTGCAGGAGCGCATGTACCTGCGGCTGCCTGCCGAAGCGCTGCCTCTGCTACACGCTCTGGATCTACCTCTGGGAGTTCAGCACTGGGTACTTCCTGCGCACCTTCCAGGCCTGCCCCTGGGACTACAGCCACTTCCGCTACCACCTGCTGGGGCTGGTGACGCTGGAGTATGCCGCCTTCTGGGCCCTGGGCGCCCTGCTGCTGGAGATGATCATCAGGAAAACCCTGCAGCTGCGGCTCGAGGGGCCCAGCGCCTCGTCCCCCATGGCCTGCTTCCAGCCCCGCAAGCAGGCCTGAGCACAGGGGAGGCTGCGCCGGCCGCCCCGTTCGGGCCCTGCTGCTGCAGCAGCCTGGAGACGGCAGGACCCTGCGGAGCTGGCTGGCACCAGAGCCAGGGGAGGAGTCTGCAGGGGGGCAGTGCGGGGAGACGCACTGCTCCATTGGCACACCTGCCCGAGACCCTCCCCCCAAGCATTCCCACCTCCCCCGCCTGCAGGAAGATTCCCTGAGACAAGTCCACCAGGATGTACCTGGGGCCCAGTTTTCATCCACCTCACCTGACCCCTCCCTGCGCTGGGTGGCAGGTGGCTTCTAGCCCCCTCTGGGCCCTACAGCCAGGTCTGTTCGGAGTCTCAACGCCCGGACCATGGAGCGCGCCAGACCCTGAGGCGGGTTAGGAAGGTAGCAAGCTGGGCCCGGATAGCCAAAAGGCTGAGGAATGTTAACTAGCGCTGACAAGTGATCAAAAAATGTAATTGCGATGAATCGCGTGCAACTCCCCTTTGAAACGCCGCCATGGCATTTCAAGGGGGCAGCGCTGCATGGAGCCCGGGATCAGTTGAGGACTCCCCCACTGACTCCAGACCCTATGTGGCACGCTGCCACGGCGTTTCCAAGGGGCAGCGCACTAGGCGCCAGGCTCCACTTGCCCCTTTGAAGTGCTGGAGCGGCACTTCAAAGAGGCAGCGCAGCAGTAACACCTGCGATTAGCATGTTAATTGTTTTAATGGGTTAATCCTGTCCTGTGTTAATCACAGGGTATGTCTACATTACAAAGTTAGTTCGAACTAACGGACGTGAGTTCGAACTAACTTTCATAGGCGCTACACTAGCGCTCCGTTAGTTCGAATTTAATTCGAACTAACGGAGCGCTTAGTTCGAACTAGGTAATCCTCATTCCACGAGGATTAAGCCTAGTTCGAACTTACTAGTTCGAATTAAGGGCTGTGTGGACCCTTAATTCGAACTAGTGGGAGGCTAGCTCTTCCCAGGTTTCCCTGGTGGCCACTTTGGCCAACACCAGGGAAACTTGTCTGCCCCCCTCCCGGCCCCGGACCCCTTAAAGGGGCACGGGCTGGCTACGGTGCCCATGCCAG